GCGGGCCAATCAACAATATATCAAATACCGGACAGAGGCTATTCGCCATGGCACTGTGCGAAATAAGTTCCTGCAGAGGTAAGCTATCAGCAAGGAATATTAATTTCAATCCCTTCTAACGATCATCTCTCTCAGCGCTGCTCAAGCATGGAACCGCAATGATGCGCGGGCTGCCAAAGCATTGTCATTACGCGGTCAGGCCGAGAACGACGCTATGCGCAGATGTCATCGGGAGGCCGCACGCCAGCTCTATGAAGAACGCAATCAACATCTCTCTCACAAGGGATTGGATGAATCTTCGGAGGAGCTATACGTTGACCTTCACGGTCTCCACCCGGAGGAGGCTATCGAATACCTCGAGAAGATCCTGCTCAAGCATGCGCGAGAAGGTCTCCGGGTGGTGTATGCCATCACGGGCACTGGCCACCACTCGAAGAATGGCAAAGATAAAATCGGCAAGGCCGTCAAGGCATGGTTGAACGAGTGGCGCTACTTGTTCCGGGAATTCAGTGTACCTGGTGAGCGAGGCGGTTATGTCGGAGGGATTCTTGGCATCGATCCAACCAGTTATGACAAGTCCGTGGCCAAGGAGCTGGCTAGTGAATTGATGGAGGCCAACGCTGGCGGAGAGCCTCCCATCCTGACTATGGGCAAAATTCATTTACTCAAGCGCGAAGAAATAGAGCAAGATCAATGACCTGGCGTGTCATTCAACTCGATTTGCGTCAAAGCAGCATGATACCCCAGTACCAAACTTATTGAACCCATTGATAGCCCAACTTGTTTGCAAACTTTTGACTTGAAGCTGTGACTCAACTACAGCACACAAAAGTCCATCAGGCGAACGTATCGAGTGCTTTGAGCAATCTTTTTTATCATAGACTGCGCTGGATGGTTCTATATAGCAATCCATAGGCCACTCCGCACTCTCAGTGTGGCTTTTAGAACTAGCAGGGCAACTGAATACAATCTACAGTGAACCCACTTCTCATATAAATGCAAATTCACACTCATAAAACACACTACTATGTACATAGGAGATGCAAGGAACATGTACAGAATAACATGCGTATGTATGTAGGTGACAAACAACACAGCGCTACATATATGAGCCACCTACTCCGGCTCCTGATGCTGCCACTCCTCCCTTAGAGCGTTAATATCGACCCCACAAGCCTCAGCCTTCTTAACAATGGCCCTAGCCTTATGGGCAACAGGAACATCAATCATCTTCCCATCAAGCGTCCAAGCACCCCTCCCAGCTCTCGCAGCCTTCTCATCCGCAATGACAACCCGCATAGCCCACTCCGTCTCCAGCGCATCCGGTCCAAATATCCGATCTGCAACCTTCACCTGCGACGGATGAATACACTGTTTCCCATTGAACCCCAACCGCCGCCCATCCAGACACTCCTCCTGCAGCACATCCGGCGGCGTCCCATCCCCCTTCTCAGACTTGTACGCCGTACAGACGAGATCAATCGTCGAGGGCAGATCCGCCGCCCGCGCAGCCGTAGCTATCGCAGACCGCGCGAACAAGAACTCCGTCAGCGAAGGCGTCCGTGTAATACTAAGGTCTAGGGCGAAGTCTTCAGCCGCAAACACCAGACCTTGGAGTAAGGGCGAAGCGGCGCAGATCTGAGATAGGTTTGTCAGGGATTTGGCGGACTCCACTAGTGCCAGGAGGGAGATTGGGGTTCTTTCTGTTTGTGGTTGCTGAGATAGGGTGTGGGTTATAACGTCTGTGACGAATGTTAGGTCGGAGGCGGAGTTGACTTTTGGGATTACGATTGTTGTTAGGTTTGGTGATTGGAGCTGGGATGGTTAGCAGGTGAACATTGTAAGAACTACATAGTATTTAGGTGTTTGTGTGTGCCCGGAGTCAACTCACGACTTCAGTCAAATCACCCAGTGCCAGTCCACTGTCTACAGAGTTGATTCGCACGGCGCGTTCCCGGATTCCTGGCGGCGCGGCTTGGTCAATTGCTCTCCGCACTAGTGAACGCGCCTCTGTTTTCATGTGCGGTGTCACGCTGTCTTCTAGATCGTAGGTGACACAGTCGGCGGTCAGGGAGCGCGACTTGTCTAGGAAGCGTTGGGAGGAGCCGGGGACTTTTGGTGTTGTAGGTTAGCTTGGTGGTTTTTTTTGGAGCTTGGGGGTTGAAATGCGGGGAAGATGCGGCTTTGGAAGGGAGCTTGAGCTTACCGTAGAGGAGAGAACGACGGAGGGTATTGCGGGCTGCCATTGTTTATATGGTTTGTGGTGTGTGCATTCAATGGCATAGAGTTGTGTACTGTACTGTGTTGCTTGGGGGAGTGGATGTCTTTATGGAGTTGATTTGATCGGGAAGAAGCCGACTCGGCTATCTAAAGCCGCTTTGTGTCGATTTAGTAGGTTGGCACAACAATTGATTTCTTTCTTAATTTTCTGTGGGTTAATGCACTTTATGAAGGCTTTATATAGTTAGCTATTCATGCTTTATATAGTTACGTGGTTTATTTCCAAAGTAAATTCGGATATTTAGCATAGGAACCGTTCTATTCGCAGAGTTGATCTCAATATATATAATCGCAAATGCATCCTCCAAAAATCGACTCAGGGTTAGTTATTACATATATTACATACACATAGAGTATGTATATTGCAGACCTAGAAATAGCATTATAGATAATTAGATATTAGAGCTAGATGGCATTCGACAAATTCATAAAGTGCTAATACTACTCAAAGATACAACTATAGAAATAGATGATCGTCAAGGGTATTATAGTGAAAGTGGTCTGGATCGATTATGATCGAAATAACAACTTGAAGTGCATCTTTTACTACATCTGATGATACCCTTTCCGCAAACCAATGTGATGACAGTTTCCCCAAGCTTGGTATCGGAATGGGCAATACTTGTTTCCCATTTTGATCGGGTATGGATTGTAGGAACAATTTCAACATTGCAATAGGTCCATGCACCAATACAACCTCAACGATTCAATTATTCACATGGCATCTTTGTTTATGTGACCTACTTTCCGAGATCTCGAGGTAGATAGGTACAGTTTAGATTTAGCATTTGAACCACCAAAGTTCCCTGCAATCCATGCCTATCTCTCTGTACTTCCTCCTATGTCTACCTGGGTAATGTTATTTCTATACTACTGTCTCTTTATGTGGTTTTGGCACAGGCGCTAGATCTTTTATAGATCAAACTTTGTGTCTTATCGGCTTAGCGCCACATACGTTGGATAACTGCACGTGTAGTATCCACTCAATGGAATCACGTGAAATACATCTAGGACTGTAGCCTTGTGCCTAACTAGGAGTAATGAACAAATTTGCTCAGAGACACTGTTTAATTCTAAAACCACCAGCTTTCCATAATACACTAGGCAGATGCTGCTGCCCTTGGCTAAGCATATAATACACGTCATCAATCCACTTGATCTATGCTTCTGCCCTAGCTTTGGTTATTCTGCCATAAAAGACCGCCTGCACCCGTGTTTCGACCACATAGGGATCACCATCAGTCAACAACAGACTTAATTGGATTAAATTGACCCAATCTGCTGACCGAGAGGTCCTTTACATTCAGACGATATCAAATCCTTCACCTTGCAAGCCATGGAACAAGGACAAGGAGGCCAAGGCGAGCTCAACTGGCGCCTCAGCGCGCACCCGATCACGCTACTTGTCTTCTTGGGTATTCGGATCGGTTCGTACTTACCCACCACGAGTAACAGCGGGAAGAATGATTTGACTAACTTGATTATTAGGTGCGCTACTGATGTATCTGTTTGGTGTACTCTTCATTCATGACTTGTACGGATCCTGCGCTGAATTACCCGCTACTCAACTCGTGATGCTAATGTCTATCTAGTATCCTCGTCTTCATTTTCACACTTCTCCTCCTCTCTGCGGATTTCTATTACCTCAAGAACATTGCGGGACGTCGGCTGGTCGGCCTACGTTGGTGGAACGAGGTCGATACCTCGACCGGCGACTCGCAGTGGGTCTTCGAATCATCCGACCCTAATGTTCGCACTGTGACAGCCACGGACAAGCGATTCTTCTGGCTGAGCTTGTATGTCACACCTGCGTTATGGGTGGGCCTTGCGATCTTGGCCATTGTGAGACTTGTTGGTGTTATTTGGCTCAGTCTGATTGGTAAGTCCCTAGATACTTTCGACATGAGCCGGCACTAGGTATTGACTTTGATTTAGTTATTGCACTCATTTTGACTATCACGAATACGATGGCATTCTCTCGCTGTGACAAATTTGGACAGGCTTCCACATATGCCAACTCGGCCCTGGGTGGTGGTATTGTGAACAACCTCGCTGGTGGCCTGCTGGGCAGGCTGTTCCGGTAATGGTAGGCAGCTCGATTCCTGTCTTGCCGTTAGTGGCTCTATATCAGTGTTTTCACATGTGCTCTGTATTTCTAGCGGAATATTTGACCACTTACCATTTAAATGCATGCAATTTCTTATCAAAATATGGAACAATCTGTAGCTCTAATATGATCTGAGCATCCAGCCTACTGTGAGTTTCTTTGGGTATGGAGGTATGGAGCCATCCCATGGGGGCAACCCATCGTTCCTTCCCAACCAGGTCCTTTCCACTTTCGCGTCACTTGCGCGTTGGATTTGTTTTCTTTTTCCTCCCCTTCCATCCTCCTCCTTTTTTTCTTTTCCTCTTCGTCTGCATTCAGCCGTTATCGATTTCGCGCGTTGACTACGCATCAAGAAGCTGGTAAGTGTCGTTCTTGACGTTGGCCCCGCACCATCTCTCTCGATGATAGCGCTTGGGAGAACGATCCTCGTGAAAAGATCGTGTTTCGATTCTTCTAGATGATCTTGTCCCTTCTACCTTTCCCTGCCGTCACTTACAGCACTTCCACCCCCCGTTTCCCTTTTGACCTCTGCGCTTCCATCCTTCGCCCTGGCGAAGGCATTCATTCTTTGATGGGAGATTGACTAACAGGATACTTTATCTAGTTTGCCACAATGGCGACCCAAGACGATGGCTTCTCCTGCGGACAGTACGTTCTCCCCTCCAAGATTCTAGCTTTCCCAGCTCAGAACTCCCCCCAAGAACTTCAAACACTTACAAACCTAGATGTGGCGAGTCTGGCCACATGACTCGTCAGTGCCCGAATGACCCGGTTCCTCTGAGACCCCGAAACAGCAATGCAGGGTGAGTTGTTTCTGTGCTATGTCATATTGTGCTAGGTCGTCTAACTAATCTGCAATATAGCGACGCTTATGGAAACGACGGCAATGGCGGCGAATATGGTGAGCGCGCTGGTGGCGGTGACCGCGCTTGCTACAACTGTGGCCAGGAAGGGTAAGTCATCGACCTCTGTGTTTACTTGGGTATACTGACGACAATGCAGCCATAACAAAGCTGATTGCCCCGAGCCTCGCAAGGGCGGTGGTGCATGCTACAACTGTGGTGAAGAAGGGTGAGTTGTTGTTGAACATCTAGGACGATACAGTATTAATTGTTTTCTTGAAACAGTCACTCCAAGGCCGAATGCACCAAGCCTCGCGTGTTCAAAGGTGCCTGCCGTATCTGTGAAAAGGAAGGCCACCCAGCTGTTGATTGTCCTGAGAGACCCCCCGATGTTTGCAAAAACTGCCAGGCTCAGGGCCACAAGACGATGGAATGCAAGGAGAATCGCAAGTTCGACCTCAACATTGTTGCCGACATGCTTCCCCAGGAAGCTTGGGCTTTAATGAAGAAAGCAAGTGACGGAAGGGATCTTGATGATTTTCGCGAGGTACCAGGAATCCATAAGCGTCTTGAAAGGCTTGAGCATTGGCTGACCTAACTCTAGGCACTCAAAATCTACTCCAAGGCAGTTCCCGATGCCACCTGGGCTGACGTCGAGAAGAAGATGCGGGAGGACGATTTCAACATCTACATTATTGCTATGGTAATCAATCATTGTCGTTTTGATGCTCAGGGATGAATTGCTGATGAATGAACTTTGAATATAGGAAGCCGAAGTTGACGACGTGATCAGCCTTATCGATCTTCAGGGCGTGCTTGATCGTGAGTACGTGATCGGATTCTTTTTCAGCCCCAAGGCATCGCGTGGCAACCTCCGAGACCGCTGGCCTGCGGATGCCGAGGAGAACCTTGAACGCATGAACAACGCTGGTATTCCCTACGAGCGCAGGGTGCCTAAGTGTCTGAACTGTGGAGGTAAGTGCTAACCTTGGTTACCTATTTCTCGAAGTGTTACTAAACCATCCTGTTTAGAGTTGGGACATATCTCGCGCAGTTGCAAGGAGGAGCGCGCGGAGGGCAATGACCGTGTGGAAATCAAGTGCTCGAACTGTGAGGAGCTTGGACACCGCGTGCGCGATTGCGTACGACAGCGCAAGAACAAGCATGGTTGCCGTAATTGCGGGTATGTTGCTGTGGTGCAAACAACGAACTGGTTAATGCTAACTTTTTATGAAGATCTGTTGAGCATATTGCTTCTAATTGCACCGAGCCCCGATCTGCCGAAGGCGTTGAATGCCGCAGATGCAACCAAAGTATGATATGACCTTAATACGATTGGTATATCTCATGATGCTAACATATCTGTTTTAGCTGGCCATTTTGCTAAAGATTGCCCTAATGCTACTGATCGTCCCCCTCGTACCTGCCGCAATTGTGGGTAAGTTAAAAATCTCAATGAGAGCCCTGGGATTGTCACTGGTTCTAACATAAATGCAGATCCGAAGACCACATCGCTCGCGATTGTGACCAGCCTCGTGACGTTTCCACCATCACCTGCCGCAACTGCGAAAAGAGTAAGTGTGATGCATACCCTGAAGATTTGCCATTTCTTCGGCCATTAAACAGAACTGACAACCATTTTAGCCGGACATTACTCTCGTGATTGTGATCAGCCGAAGGATTGGTCGAAGGTTCAGTGCAAGAACTGCGGAGAAAGTGAGTTGATCATAGACGCCTGCTTAATACTTGAGTTAGTCCACTAACAATTATTTAGTGGGTCACACCGTGGTCCGTTGCCGTCAGCCCAAGGCGGAGGAGCCTCAAGACGAACCCGCTTACTCTCCAGGCTCTCCTCGACGCGAAGAACCTGATCTGCTGGGCCCGGAGGCCAGTGATGAAGTGTTTCAGTTCAAGCGTCTTGACGACGACAACTGGTAAACACAATACCACACGAACAACGGGTGATAGGAAGCTCTGAACGCAACGGCCATTTGGCTTCCCTTTATCCGTTATTATGACCGCCCTATGCGAGACATGGGTGTTGACTGTTCTTGGGATGCCGCACGGTGGCCCAATAATGGACAAGAACCCGATATCACATATGGGCCTGTCTCTGCTCGTGGTTTTCAGTTTTTCTTTCAAATATTGCAATGTTTTTGATGTTAGTCAGTGAAATTTCCCAGGGGTTCTACAATGATTGCTGACCGGCCATTGGTTTCTAAAGGACGACGTTAAGAACTTTCATGCTCTGTTGAGCTCGACTTGATTTTAACGCGTCTCTGGATGGGTTTGGCGACGGAGTCTGGGCAGGAGGTTCTGATCTGGGGAATTTTTCTGACGCTCATCGATATCTGGCTAGCTCATTTCCAATGAAACATCTATTAAGTTCATTCTTGGCTTGTAGGCTTAGAATCCGGAGTAGTAGTTGTAATAATTGTATTGCCAAGATCCGTGGATGACGGCAATAAGCAGACGTTTATCGGGATTCCTTAGTTCGGCCTCCAAAGTTCCCGAGGAGCATGAAGCCGGGTGACAAATTGAAGGCCTGGCATGATGCCGATGTCATCAAACCAAGCACTCCGATGTCGATCATTGACCATATGATTCCTAGTTGATCGTCGTTACTGGTAGGGGTGTAAGTATTTTTACCATGTCATAACCGGGATGTACTGTGGGCCGAATCGGGAATTCCGGTGCCCTAACCCTCTATGGACTCTCTACTCTACTTTTTGATATAGACTATCACGGACATTTATGGAGGCTGGTTAGTGTTAGGGTTGACTTATGCACACTTTGGAAGTGCAGACCTTACATTAAGGGGCACAGAAGTCTAATCAGGAATGCACTTGCGAGGATCTTATTGGAAGGGTTTCATAGCCATGAAAATATTTTGAAAAATAGTATATCATTGACAGTTCTAACTTGACATGCAACCTGCATAATTGGGTAGCATTTGAATACAGAGTCCGGAGTACTCCGTACAGAGAAGTTTGATCAGGCACATCCAAATCGGGGCATCCCGTGCTCAGGAGCCTAGTGCTTCGGCATTTGCCCGAATTTGTGTATCATTACGGCATTACCATGGAACTCTGGGGATCCAGTGTAGGCTACTGCCTATGTAAATAAGTAGTTTTGGAGGCTAATGCCTTAGAAGTGGTCGATGATGTCATCAGAGTCGGCTATAGCCGGTCGAAGATTTCGGGACTCGGTACGGCTTATACGGTTTACCCCTTGTCATATATCCCTGCCAAGTATCTGTACTTGACAAGATAATCTTAAGTGTAATCTGAGTCAGTACGTATGTTGGGTTTCTTTCAGTGAAGATCGGCAGAGAAAGAATGTGGGAGTCTGGGGGAGAGACATCCACCTGGAGAAACCCCAGATTTTTTTTATCCAACTTTTAATGTGTATGTTGTATATCTATATGAAAATGGTACCTTAAACCACGTGAGAATGTACCGGGTAGGTGTCATACACTCTACATATAATCGACGGAAACAGCCTTGGAAATGGCCTTTGATTATATTGATGTGAATTATTACTGTAAAACGGGTACGGTACCGGATCCCGACCTGGCCATGCGAGACTCCGGGGCCCCTCGCATGGCGCAACGGCACGTCTTACACGCCGATTCCCCCCCGGTGGATCCCGTAAAAACCTGGAGGAATACCGAAGCCTCCATGATGGGGTTCGTAGCCTCGTACCCTCCCCAATTGGGCCATGGTATACATCACCAATGCGACCTTGCTAATGTTTCTCATTGGCTTGCGTTTTCCTCGTGCTGGTTTCTGATTTGCATCCCAAACCCTGGCCCTAGATGTGGATACTACCTCCTTGTTTGATGGGGTTCATAAGTCTGGCCGACTTCCCCAGACATGGCTATTTCGTTCTTTTCTCTGCTTAGTAGTTCATTTCAAATCCACCGGCAAATAGTCGGACTATCTTTGTTTAGGGCTTGACTATATACAATTCGTTCTACAATCTGCAACTTGTACAACACCGTCACCATGAAACCATACTTCGGCCTTCGGGGCACGAACCTGAACATCATGATCGGTGTTATTGCCGGTCTTGATTTCTTGTATGTCTTTCAATATCTACTTGGAAGTACGCAGCACTAACGTAAAATTTCACAGGCTATTTGGATATGACCAGTATGTCATCACAAGCTATACATGAGGCTATTGTGTTATTCTTGCTAACATTCAACAGAGGTGTTATGGGAGGTCTATTGACATTGCACTCATTTGTTACAGTCTTTCCCGAAATTGACACCACTAAATCGAATCCATCGGCCAGTAGCAACTCGACTACACAGGGTATGCAACTCTATGGCAACCTTCTATTCGTCCATGTACTAATTTATCAGGAATTGCTATCGCTTCTTATAACTTGGGTTGTTTCTGTGGCGCAATCTTCTGTATCTGGGTTGGAAACTACCTTGGTCGCCGTAAGACGATTTTCGCCGGCTCTATCATCATGGTCATCGGTGCTACGCTACAGGCCAGTGCTTTCTCGCTGCCACATCTCGTTGTCGGTCGTATTGTCACCGGTATCGGCAACGGGATGAACACCTCTACCGTCCCTACATGGCAGTCTGGTAAGTATTTCACAATTATTAGAGAGGATATATGGCGCTAACATCACTTAGAATGCTCCAAGTCCCACCACCGCGGAAAACTTGTCATGCTCGAGGGTTCCTTGATTGCTGCTGGAATCACGATCAGCTACTGGCTTGATCTTGGATTTTCCTTCCTTGACCCTAGCTCCGTTTCCTGGCGATTCCCAATTGCCTTCCAAAACGTTTTCGCACTAGTCATCTTAATCTTCGTGCTGCCACTACCCGAATCACCTCGCTGGCTGATCCTCAAGGGCCGCGAGCAGGAAGCTTTGGATGTTCTCGCCGCAATTCTAGACCTGGACGAGAACGATCCCTACGTCCACTCGGAATTCGCTGCTATCAAGGATGCAGTCCTGGCTGCCTCGACTGTCAGCTTCCGTGACTTGCTCACTATGGATGAAAACCGCCACTTCCACCGTGTTGTACTTGCCTACGTCAACCAGATGTTCCAGCAGATCTCTGGTATCAATCTGATTACCTATTACGCTGCTTTCATTTATGAGAACTCTCTGGGTATGGACGGCTTGACATCGCGCATTCTAGCTGCCTGCAACGGCACTGAATATTTCTTGGCGTCTTTGGTCCCCATCTTCATTATTGAGAAGGTGGGCCGACGAGTTCTGATGTTGATCGGTGCTGCTGGCATGTCGATCTCAATGGCGGTTTTGGCCATCACCACTAGCTTTGAAGGCGAGAGCAAACCTGGTATTGCCGCTGCCGTGTTCTTGTTTGTCTTCAACACATTCTTTGCCTTTGGCTGGCTGGGAATGACCTGGCTATATCCCGCAGAGATTGTAAGGCTTTCATCCTTTTTGTTCTTTTGCACCAAAATACTAATGATGCGATAGGTGCCTTTGCGAATTCGTGCTCCTGCCAACGCACTTGCAACATCGGGTAACTGGATCTTCAACTTCATGGTTGTCATGGTCACGCCTGTTGCATTCGACACGATCAAGTACAAGACATATATTATCTTTGCTGTCATGTGAGTATTTTTAGGCGCATTGATTTGGACACGACTAACTCGATTCCAATAGCAATGCATTCATCTTCCCCGTTGTCTACTTCTTCTACCCCGAAACTGCCTACCGATCCCTGGAGGAGATGGACACGATCTTCCATAAGACAACCAGCGTCTTCAATCTCGTCTCGGTCGCCCGCAATGAGCCCCACCGTTACGGTAAGAAGGGCGAGCTGCTCATCAACTACCAGGAAACCGAGGAGCACTTGCGCCGCGCTAGTTATGTTTCAGAGAAGAATGGCAAGCTGGCCAATGGGGTGGACGATGTGGAGACTGGAAAGGGTACACATGTTGAGCATCGCAAGGACAGCTCATCTGACAGTCCATAGATAAAGCCTTTTGAGAAGGCAGATCCTTATTTCATTTCAATCAACAGTCTATGATGTTAATGAACAACTCACTATATATCGCAAATACTGGATGGATGTTTCATGAATTATGGCGTAAGTCATTAATTGCATTATGGAAACATTATGTAGGTCAAAGCTACTAACGACAAAACTAAAAATGGCCCATCAACTTCAAACAACGCTAAATCAAAACCAGCTCTGGTAGCTCACAGCCCAAAGGCCAAGCCCCCAACCAAAGCAACCAAGACAGCAGCCAGGATGCCAGTACCACTAATCCCCACGCCCACCGCAGCATCAGTGCCTGGCGGAGCAAGTCCAATCACTCCATACGTTGAAACAGCCGATGTAGCAGCCGGGACAGAGTCACCCGTCGCCGACAACGTAACAGGCTCAGATGAGTATTTAAGCGAAGTCGCCGAGTGAGGCGGGCGGTACGTATAACTAGACGACATGTCCTCAAGCGAGGACGTCGCCACCGCACTATTCGTCGCATAAACCGACCAGACAGTGCGCGTGCTCGTTTTGGTACTAGTAACCGTCTGAACAGTATAAGGCGCATAAGAAGTCCAGTAATAGAACCAATAAGTCCTAAAAAGGTCAGTCAACAAATCCCCCAAAACAAGACCAACATACCAGTAGATAGTAGTATAATAATAATCCCAATCAACATCAAGATAAGTCTTCGTCGCCGTCGCAGTCTCAGTCTCAGTTTCCGTAGACGTAGACGTAGACGTAGACGTAGACGTAGACGTAGGATCCGAATCCGCAACCGTTCCCCCAGATCCAATCCCATCATTCTCCCCAGCACACCCAAGCACACTCGAACAACAAACTTTCCTCCCCCTATAAATACGACACTTCTTCCCAACCGGACAATACGAGCCACCAGCACAACACTCCCCACCAATCGGCGCACATCCCCTCGACCCAGCACAGCACTTATATCCAGCCGGACATGTCCCGCCGCCCGTGCAGCATTTCTCGCCTATCGACGCGCAGTACCCGTTCCCACAGCACTTCCCGCCGACGGGACAGCAGCGGGTGGAGTCGTATGCGCATTCGCTGTAGCCAATCCCGCATTCCAGGGCGCGGGTGTCTAGACTTGGATTGTGGGCGAAGACGGAGAAGTCATTGTCTGCGTTGAGGGTGATGTTGGAGAAGAGTTGGGGTTCGTCTTCGGTTCTTGCTATGTTTGCGAGGAGGAGGGATAGGGCTAGGGTTTTGAGGAGCATTTTTGGAATTACGGACTCCGTATAGTGTTGATATATTGAATGATATGTTGAATGGTATCTGCTTTGGAGGATATCGTAGGATTAGGGGAATATATTGAAATCTAGAAAATATCCTTGGGGGCAATGCGAGTTTAAGTCTCCGTCGATGCGGCTCAGTGAAAAGTAAACATATGCCAAGACTGGTTAAGGTTGTGGTTCGTATTCGCTGGGACATGTTGCCTGGGATGGTTGGTGATGTTCGTAAATACGAGGCGGTGTCGCTTGGCATGGACTCAAGCCGCTTTTTTGGATTTATATACGGAGTGCTCGGTTTATGGGACCAAGAAGAGGTTACTGGAAACTGGGCTACACATTGGGCTTGGATGCTAAGCTGATTTTTTGTTGATACATAATGGAGGCTAATGGGTCTGGAGGTGTTCTTGGCTTTAGGGCTTGAGACCCCCTCGTGATAGCGTCCTACTTTATTTGGTTAGACTGGTGTTTCTTTGTTGTGAATCAGACACTGCCCAGGCGATCGGCAAATTATATTAAATTGTTCAGTGCTAAACCCCGCTCCTGGGTATGAAGAGCTCGAGCTCTTGGAGGTTGACGTGAAGGGAAGTACATATACGGAGAATCTCCCGAGCATCCTTTCATGTCCATATGACTACATACGATACATTTCGTTGGGTACATGGCTAAAATTCAACATAGTGGCATAAACGGCCTTTAAAGTACACGATGAGACTCTGTGGTAAAGCAATCTGTACCTTAGCTAGCCCTAGCACCTAGAAATTAACAATCTCCCGTTCTTCCATACTAGATCATGCATCAACCCATTTTCTTTTGCATTTTCCCGGGTCGCTGATTCCATCTTGGGTTTTTGATTGTATTCAGCATGGAAATTGGTTCTCTTCCCTTCGGCTTGTGAGTACGAGATTGATTGAACCCCAAGGAAGCCATGGTGGATGATTCCGGACCATCTGCGCATCTCAAACCACCTGGGAGGTTTCAGGGACAAAATTAAACAGGGTCGCAAAGGCTCCGCCTTCGCTCCTTGTTAAAAATCAATCAATCATCAATCGTGCATTTCAAGAAGAGTCGATATCTTTAAACATAACCTTCTTTTTCTGATACTTCTTAGTGGATAGCTCCTGCATGTCTTGAACACTCTTCTTTCCCAAATTTTCCTTGATGGGTAGCTCCTGCTGGTTGTCGTTCTCCGTTCCATGTGCGACAACATGTTCCTTGGCCTCGTGTGCCTTCTAAGCTGAGACTCTCTTAGCTATAGAAGGTTCACTCTCCGTTTTAGACTCTGAATCATCCAACCACGACTGCATTGCATCCGCCAGAACGCTTGTCCATCTCAGGCTTCGACCTAGTTTTGTTAGTCTCCCTGGTGACAGTGGAATATTTCTTCTTAGTCTTCTAAGCAACGTACGGGCACCCGACCGGTCGCTTCTAGTTTCTCTTGTCCGTCACATCAACCCTTGTTTTGCCCGTAAGAGTTGAGAATTTTCACCCGTCTCGACTTGACTTGCTTTTCAGAGGTCTACGCGGCGAATTCTACCCCCACAGACTTGTAGTGTTCAGTGACTTCTTCTGACTTGTAGCTATGCCGGTTTGGGAGCACTTTGCTCGTGTTTTCATCAGGGCGGATGGATGGAAGGTCAGGAGGACTAAGGTGAAGTGAAAGGGACAAAACAAGCGGACATTGCTAGGTTATAAATTAATAGCTACGTAGCTGGCTAGATATAGACAAATAGGCGGCATATATGCCTCCTTTTCAATTTTTGCCTAGGGCGTCTTGCCTTGGAATATCAATTATCTAGTCATGACTTTTTAGTCTTAGGCATCAAGTTCTGTAGACATACACCCTCTTCTGGCATAGCACATTGTTTTGTTAGCTATTATAGACAAAGCTTATCCCTTGTTCATACCTAGTTTTAGCATTGCTAATTAAAGCTATTCTCATAAGCCTGAAGCTTTCACCCGAACCCTAACATCACCCAATTGGGACAGTTGATAGGCCACGTGATATCCCCGAGACCGGCGATCAAACAAGAATGATGATGATAATGAGAATACATAAAAGAGATAACTTGAAATTTAAGAATTGCAATTCCAAAAGTAGTTCTGAGTCATTTCTTGGCAAGATATTGCGAATGTTGGATATGCCATGGGCCGCATGGCCCAATGGTATGTAGCATTCTGGCAGGTGACAGCTCTGCAAGGGACTAGATCTAAAATAATATACAAATAAAAATACAATAAACAACATACGAAGATCCATAGAAGGTAATAATAGCCTCGGAAAAAGTTTTTAAGGTTATCCTCGGTGAAGAGCTCGTTGGGAAAAAGATACCGAAGAATTTTTCCCTCAACCTCAATGTCAATCTCAACCTCAACAGGGGATTTTGGATTTTAATCTCGGTCTGGACTTATGACTCAGTTCGGTGTATAACTTTGGACTATAAAACTCCTTTTATATATCGGTGACTTTTAAGGGTTTTTCCAAGGTTCTCCGCCAAGATCCACCCCTCTTTATCAGATCCGAAAACGGATTCTTCGCTTTCCTTCGGGCATCAACGGGCTAAGAGCTCAAGGTATGTTTATGACCTCGGTAAACGATTAAACGTTTAGTAAAATCGAAATATACATGAATTCACTAACTCGGAATTCACAGAACTCAATTGATACTGCTTTTAGCCAGCGCTTTGGTACAGTCAATTGACTGCTTGCCCGCAAAGAGGCTAAAAGATCTATACACATATAATAATAACAAGATGTCCGAACATCAAAATGCCTCTGTCGGTATCGACAAGCAGCCTGTCTCTGCGGATATCTCCGAGCAGCCAGAGGCGGCTCAAAGCCAAACATCCTCAGACGATGTTGATGTCGAGTCCGAGGACCAAAGCGTGGCCAACATCGAACGAATCTACAGGTGAATCACATCTTCAAAACAATTCAATGTCAAAATTTCACTATCAGAATCTAACATACAATCGCAGAAAGCTGGACCGTCGCATCATCTCCGCATTCTGGGTCCTCTACTTCCTCTGTTCAGCCATCCGCTCAAACGTAGGCCTAGCACAGACAATGAACACAGACTCAGGCCACGACCTAGCAAGCATGCTCAACCTATCCCGACACCAAATCTCAACCGGTCTCGCCCTCTTCTACGTCTGCTACGTGATCTTCGACCTCCCCTCAAACCTAATCATGACCCGCCTAAGCCCCCACGTCTGGATGAGCCGCATCGTGATCAGCGTAGGCCTAATCGGGAGCTGTCTCGCCGCAATGAAAGCAGCATGGAGCTTCTAGTACGCAACCCCCTCTCAGTCCTCTCCCCCTACATCTCATCTAACAAACACCAGCCTCCTCCGCCTCCTCCTCGGCATCGTCACAGCAGGCATGTGGCCCGGCATGACATACTACCTAACCCTATTCTACCCCCCTTCCCGCATCGGCAAACGCATCGGCCAATACTTCACAGCCTCCCAAGTCTCCGCCGCAGTAGTCGGTCTCGTCTCCGCCGGCTTCCAGAAAATGGACGGCGCACAAGGCCTAGTCGGCTTCCAATGGATGTTCCTAATCTACGGTGTCATCACAGTAGCCCTGGGCTTCGCCCTGCTATGGTGGTTACCAGATAGACCGACCGTCCCCGGCGAAGCCGCGCCGAAACGCTCCCGGATGATGCGCTGGCTGCCTACCACGACACCGGCGCTGAAAGGCGCCGATGCCGTCGTGCATTACCACGATCTAAAGCGTGTATACCACTCCTCCGCGTGGACACTGCGGGATCTACTCGCAGTATTCATGGATTGGAGATTGTATCCGCTGCTGGTGATGTACTTTGGTGTTGTGGGCGTTGGTATTGGAGTTCAATCGTATGCGAACTTGATTATCAAAGCCATTGATCCGACATTGAGTGATGTTTCTTTGAGTTTGTTGACGGCTCCGATTTGGATTGTATGTTTTTTTTCCTGTCCTCTCTACCTTTTTGCTTTTGTCCGCTAACACATTCAGATGGATCTCATCGCCATCCTCCTCGTAACACCCCTCTCAGACCGCTTCCACCGCCATCGCGCAATCTTCTTCTCAATCCCCGTCTGCCTCCAAATCCTCGGTCTCCTCCTAACCAGCTACGCCGGTACAGACGAAAACCCCTGGCCCCGCTACGGCGGACTTTTAATCGTTGGATTCGGACTTGGTCCAACAGTCCCAATAACCATGACCTGGACGACGGAGGTATTCCAGCCTCGACACGGCGAGCTCGGCGTAGCGTCTGCGTCGGCTGTTGTTTCCGGACTTGGTAATTTGGGCAGTATTCTCACGACGTATGCATTGTATTCTGGATGGAAGAGTGACTACGAGGCGCCTGGTCGTGAGAAGTATAGGAAGAGTAACCTCGTTATGATTGGGATTCTGGCGGGGAGTATTCTCTCTGCGGCGCTTATGGAGGTTATGTTGCGATTTGTTGATGGGCGGTATCGGGGGGATGAGGAGGTTGATGGGGCTGCGAGGAGGGAGGTGCGGCAACGTGGATTGCATGGATTGGGGGCTGGTGTTAGACGTTGGTTGAAGTTGGGAAGGTGATTGCGTAGACTTTGTGGATGGTAAAAGTGTTATATTTGTTTAATTTTGCTGGACTTTTATAGAACTATAGAAGCAACGAATACGATCTAATAGATGGATTTTGGAGAATATCATGCCTTATAAGGCAAGACTTGTCAATTGAATGAACTGAAGTATTCTGTATCATTGCTTGGAGGTTCATGTTCGGATATTTGACTGTCATACACATGGTTTCTAGGGCTTAAAAGGGAAGATGCTAGAATGTGATACTAGATTGAGTTCAAGATCCTTGTTTCACGACAATCTGGCGTAATAACCTGATCCAAGACCAATGAGACTAAACGATTACGGCTAGGCAAAAGTACAAGAGCAATAGTTAAGCTATGTTGTTGGCTCAGACATGAGCGTTCAAGAGGGTCAGTGCAAAAGTTGGAACGGTATTGGAACTTGGTATTAATTGGAGAATCATATAATTGTTGATTCTCCATAGGAACGATATCAAAATGATATCTCTCGATAAACGATGGTGTGGTTTTCCCATCCATGAATATTCTATGCTATTGTACGTGTCACATTACCCTGTGAAGGGTAGTCGAGAGAAACAGAAAAAGAAAAAAAAAAGTGCGGCTGGTGCAACGAGGGAGGGCCAGCATGAACGCAATAGGCGGACACTGGTACCGGGAGAAAAGAAGGATAGAACAGGAGAAGAAAGACAGGACGAGGAAGAGAGAGAAGGCAGATCACGAAACGCATCTATAGGGGCTCCCTCACGCAGTCAGGCCGCTCTGGTCCGACTCCCAGGTTGACGCCGAGGGTATCGGAGCGCTAAGACCAAATGATTCCTATCCATTTAGAGGCCACCACACATAGTCTCAACGATGATACCAGTGATCTGGTAAGGATCAGCGTTGGACGCGGGGCGACGATCCTCAAAGTAACCCTTGCCGTCCTTGGCGCACTGGCGGGGGATACGGATAGAGCCACCACGGTCGGCAACACCGTAAGAGAACTTGTCGATGTTACCGGTCTCGTGGCGACCGGTGAGACGCTCCTCGTTACCCTCACCGTAGACGGCAATGTGCTCAACGTGACGGGCCTCGAACTTCTTCATGGCGGCCTCAATAACCTTCATACCACCCTCGGCACGAGTAGCGTGGGTGGAAACGTTGGAGTGAAGACCGGCACCGTTCCACTCACCCTTGATGGGCTTGGGCTCGAAGGAGATACGGACACCGAACTCCTCAGCAACACGGTGGAGAAGGAAACGGGACATCCAGAGGTGATCACCCACTAAAAAATTAGTTAGTCTCTAGATGGTCCATGACTTTCGGGGGTTTGTAAACTTACTATCGATACCGGCGCAAGGGCCGACCTGGTACTCCCACTGGGAAGGCATGACCTCAGCGTTGATACCGGAGATGTTGATACCGGCGTACAGGCAGGCACGGTAGTGAGCCTCGACGATATCACGGCAGTAGACCTTGCCGGTACCGACACCGCAGTAGTAAGGACCCTGGGCACCGGGGAAACCGCCACGGGGCCAGCCGTAAGGCCATCCATCAGTACCGAGAAGTGTGTACTCCTGCTCCAGACCGAACCAGAAGCCCTCACTGGCGTTGGTCTCCATCAGGCGGTTGGCTTCGTGACGGTAGTTGAACTTGTTGGGGCTTCCATCGGCATCCCAGGTCTCGCAGAGGACGAGGATGTTGTCACCCTGGCGGAAGGGGTCGGGGTAGTAAGCGACGGGGCGAAGGTAGACATCGGAGTTATCACCGGGGGCCTGGTTGGTGGAGGAACCGTCAAAGTTCCATTCGGGGAGCTCATCAACACTTGTGACGGGCTTGGACAGAGTCTGTGAACGATTCAAGTTAGTCAAGTTCCAAAGGAGCGCTATCTCACGTGACGGCGGGTGGCTGCGTCTCATGCTAAATCTGGAATCCCCGTGCACAGGGCTTATCTAGGCCCGAGAGAGGATCCCAGATAAGAACATACAGCCACACACGAGTTCACGGTGTATAGATAAAAAGCTGGGAACCTTGAAATGAGTCATACCTTTGTCTTAGAACGAGTGCCACCGTTGGCATCAATCCAAACGTATTCAGCCTGAACGCGACCACGCTGGTCAAGGTTCATGTACTTCATGAGCTGTTTCCCATGTCATGTCAGTATATGTCATTCCTCTCTGGCTCAAAGGCCATTGTGGAAATCCAAATCAAAGAATCAAACGCACATTCCCCGTGTTGGAGACGACAGTTGCAGATTCAGAAGCCTGCAGAGAAAACGGTCAGATATAGGTTCCAGAGAGAGAGAGAGAGAGAGAGAGAGAAGAGATGACTCGTACCATAATGAATATGGGTATGTGTGTAGGACTTCAGATATTCAATCAAGCAATTAAGCAATGACTTTTTGGTAGGGGAGTCCCGAAGGAAAAACACGAAAGTGAAAGAGCAAATAGAATATGGATGAGAAAATCCAGAGGAGAGATGAGTTTTAAAGATGTGGAGGGGCAAGGGAGGGATGATAACCTTATGAAAAAAAAAAAAAAAAAGAATTCAAATTTAGTCACTGACTTTCTGTTTTGGGAATTTTCCTTTTTTAAATTTTCCTTTTTTTAATTTCTTGGGAAAATCAGGAAGGCGCGGCTCAGCCACTCCCTAAATAGGTTAAGTGTGGTATTGTAATTGTAAACTTGTGGCCCTAAATTACAAGAGGACCATAAAAGTACCTCATACATATTTGCGCGTTGTCGGCAAATCGTCTCCTTCGGTTGTCGTTGGGGGAACTAAAAAAACCCTCACTCTATTTTAGTTTTCTAGTTATTTCACTATAACATTTAATGCCTCAACTATTAAAATAGAACTATCAAAATAAAATATTGAACTATGTCAAAATGACCTTTTTTTTTTTTTTTCTTTCTTTCACAGCCGAGGGGAACGCGTTAGCCTGTGAGATTGAAGTTCCAACTTTCAACCGAATTCAACGCCACTCTTTTACTTCCGTGTCATCATTGTCGCATCATCTTCTTCCGTAGACACCCTTCGCCGGTCCTCGCCGAGAGATCTGCTTTTAAGAGACTTTGAATTGGTTATATTCAAATCTAGATGCGACTAGGCACCCGGTTACTCCGTACTCCGTACAGCTCTTCTCCAGACTTTCACCTCCGCATGTCGAACAGCACCCGCCACCCGAACCAGGCAAATTTCCGTATCTGGCGATAACCCTAACTAGTGCCCAATCAGCGGTCAGACCTTGTAATAAAAAGGAATGCAATAGCATGTGCAATCCTCCTTTTCTCGTTGGACCGATAAGATATATAGCGACAGGGATTATAGGGAATGTTATATGTAGAGCCGAATATAGCGCAAGGCCTTCCCAGATATGGTATGCTTATCCTGCGGCATTCTCTCCGAAGTAAAGCCATGGAGCTTCTTATCCGGGTAATTCACAAGATACACATGTTCCCTCACATGAAAAAAAAAAATAGTATTCTCAAAATATTCAAGCTTAACCCAAGATAGTCGACGATACATTGGTCATGCTTCTTAGCAACCGACGCCAGGACCCCTGGACCGAGCGCATATCAGCTGGAAATCCCGCAACTGCAGTAATCTGAGAAGTCCAGAAGAAACGAAAAAGCAAGGTGAATTCTAGAGCCTTTTTTTTTGCCTAATTTTGTATTATATTATACGCCGTACGCTTTAAAATTTTAAATCACGCGCGCGTCGCGAGAACATCGAAAATGTACGGAGTACGGCTAAGTACTCCGCGGTTCCTGAGATCCTCGGAGCTATCACCAAATGATTATAGTGCGATTCGTTATCGCGCATGAACTTCCCGTATATTCTAAGTACAGAGTACGGAGTACTTCGTACATATCTGTACTTTTATACGCGCCATTTCTAGATCTTTTTCTGTATCTTATATCTCGTTCCTGCAGGATAGAGTATCCACAGTACTTATCACGCGAGACCGGTAGAAAGTACATCCACTATACCTCTGTAATACAAAGGGCACAAATAACTGGAGAAAGCCACGCCGCGACTGGGATCAAGTCATAGTGGGGTGGACCGTGGCAAAACGTTCTCGAAACCCCCGTCGATTCATCATCAAACCAATCAGACCGGTTTTACTGGGACCGCCCCGACACCGGCCATGGATAAGAGAATCAAGGCAGTATTACAGGTCGACAAGGGTTTTGACTTATTCATATGTGTGATTTCAATTATGTACTGTAAGGGTCACGAGTTCCGGTGATTCCTTGGGTATTTTCTTCGACCATTGAGAAAGTTTAATAATTTTTATATATATATATATAGGAAATAAGGAAATAACTCGGGAGATTTTAGGTCAGGGATTCTTTAAAAGTGGCGACGAGATCTCCCCCGTATTTTCTCCGGCAAATAGGCAAATGTCGGGAGTTTGAGGAAGAGTGGCTGAGCTTCCGATCTTCAGCCCTGTCTAAGATCACTTCTCCAGGTTTTGGTATAATTTTAGTGCAACCTCTCTAGCTTAGAATATCTAGCTTCAAATAATATTTAATGAAGGAGTTTGCCATTATATTAATAGCTTGAGACATCTAGATCCGGGCTTAGTCACCGGCCCAAATTCGGGGCTGTGCAGTGGTAGTACTGGTAGTACTAGTACTAGACTTGCCCAGATATGTCTGTATCAGTATGCTGTACTCCGTATATTGTATACAAACATGAAATGCAGTTTCAGAATGCAAAAAAAAAAAAGATATAATTCGTTAGAAATAATACTATGAATCAAATATCAAATATAGATCGACATGCCCCCTTCTTATCGTAACCCTCCCATTGGCCCTCAATGCCAAGTGACAAACCACGCTGACTAGAATATCGCACATTCAACGAATATTCAATGAATATTCGCGTAATTGCTTTCTCCTTATTTGTTGAATCGATTTAAATCAGGTCATCTGTTCCATATCTGACTAGGAATAGCCGAATTCCCCTAACCACATACATATTTTGAGCGTTTTATAGGCAAACTATGCTGCA